GTACCAAAAGAAAAAAAAAAGGGGGGGGGAAGAACAAGAAAAAGAAAGAAAGCTGCTTGAGACAAAGGGAGTCTCAACTGTGCGTGCTCTACATGCTTCATAGCTGAGGGACCTGAAACATAGCCCTAGGCTTTATACCTAAGGGTCACTGTATCTCACTAGGCAGAGCTTCAAAGGACATTTTAAAGGGTGTCTTGGACAGTTCATCCCTGACTCCAGATGTTATATTCCCTAGGAATGAGAGAAACAAGGCCAAGGCAGTTCCTCCCCATTTCAGAACAGTGCATTTTTAACACAGTCTGCCATTATTCTTAAGTGCTATGAGTAAGGAGGAGGGAAAAACTGGGCCAGTCCAAAGCCACCTAGAGAAACTGCCCTGCAATAGAAGTTGGCAAACCTTTCACTGTGTTGTTCAGTAGAGGTTCCATGGGCATACAAATGCACTGAACAACCAACAATTAAATAAACCCAGGTAACTGATGGAAAGCCATGACTCCAATTTCCAAATGTGACACCCAGTCATTGTAATTGATACATCTGGTCACAAGATAATCCTGTCCAATTATTGCCAACTGAAACAGGCTGTGTATGATTTTCCTGGAGCTGAGCCTGCCTTGCTCCTTTAAAATTAAATCAGTCTATTCTGTAGCACCCTTCAGGTTTATGTCAACCTGAAGGGAGATTTCTAACAACTACCAGAGATCTGCTCTGGTCTGTGTCTTGTTCTGTTTTGATCATTGCCTGGCTCCTACAGGCATTGCCAACTAGAACAAGAAAGTGTGGTGAAGATATTTGGGGATATAATCAGAAACCAGATGCATTTTGACAGGCTTAGACTTACTCTAACAAGAAGACATTAAGCAGGGCCGCAAATAACCTGCATCAATTCAGGACAGTGTAGATTTGGTTTCAAAAATGGTATGTATGTGAAAGAGTGAGACATTTTAGTTTACTCTGGGTGTCATGACTGCCAAAAGGGTCCATGTGATCTGAGGCCACCTGAAGAGAACAGTGAGGTGAGAGAGGTGATGGACTGGCCCTTCTTGTTCCTTGTCAGATCATGCCTGGAGGACCACGTTCCAACAAAATGGAATGTATTCAGAGACAAACAGCAGGGTAGTGAGAGACCTTAAAGCAGTATAAAGAATACTTGAAAACCATATTTAGCATCAAGAAGAGAAGCCTCAGGCTACATAAATGCTGTTTTCAGATATCTGAAGCCACACAAGTAGAGTTAAAAACAGATCCCTAAGTAAGACTTAGGGGTCTGGAACTACCACTTTTTGTTACCACTCCATATCTCTATCTTAAACCCAGATTGCTGCTCTCTGTGTATTCCTTCAACTCTCTCCTTAGAGGTCCTATGGGCACCTCAAACTTTTCTCCAGAGACCTGGGGAGCATGTTTAACTCCCCCACCCTCATTCTCTCTTCCATTCAAATCTTAGCTCCTAAATATTTCTCTAGTCAGCCCCACATCCTCTTTCTACCTTGTATTCGCTAGTAGCTTCTTTTTAAAAATATTTATTTTTTACTTGTAGTTGGACACAATACTTTTATTTATTTATTTTTATGTGGTTCTAAGGATTTAATCCAGAGCCTCACACGTGCTAAGCAAGCACTCTACCACTGAGCCACAACCCCAGCTCCTCTAGTAGCTTATTAATTAGTGTCCTTAATCCCATCTCTGCACCATACATAATGACCTTTCCAAAGCATAGTCTTTTTTTTTTAGAGAGAGAGAGAGAGAGAGAGAATTTTTTAATATTTATTTTTTAGTTCTCGGTGGACACAACATCTTTATTTATTTGTATGTGGTGCTGAGGATCGAACCCGGGCCGCATGCATGCCAGGCGAGCGCGCTACTGCTTGAGCCACATCCCCAGCCCCCCAAAGCATAGTCTTCATGTCACTCCCCTGCCTAAAATCCTTTAAAGGCCTCCATATTGCCTGCAGAATTAAGTTTTAATTCCTTTTAAATTTATTTTTAATTAGCACATAATAATTGTACACATTCATGGGGTGGAGTGTGATACTTTGATACATGCATATGAATTCCTCAATATGACAACTGAAGCAGGCCCCTCTCCTCTTCAGTTCCTCTACCTCTCAACTCTACATGAGACTTTTTAATGCACTTCTCTCCCACACAACAAGCTGGTTTGCACCTCTGTGTTTCCTGGAAGACAGGGGCTGCTAGGGCCCTTTACATTCGTGGAATCTCCAGAGTTATTGTCACCTAATTCTAGGTAGCTTTCATCACCAGGGCATTTTACGCATGAGTGTGTGTGTGTGTGTGTGTGTGTGTGTGTGTGTGTGTGTGTAGGCCCTGATCTACTTTCTTTGCTGCAGTGTTTATCCCTAAGGTGTAGAGATTGACACTGCCCACATTGGGGCAGTCCTTATCTCAGGTGGGCACTAGGCAACCTTCAGGACAAAGGTGTACTGGAGCCACACATGCATAACATGAGAAACTCTGTGAATATCTGTCTCTGTCCCTCTGTGATGTCTCCTCTCTCTCCATGTGGGTGTAATACATATAAAACATTGATTCTGACAATGGCAGTTGGGCTCTCTGTGGTCTAAAGGGCAAGAACTGGCTTTTAGGAAGGAGATCATCAGATTTGCACTGTGGTGCACTCTAAGATTTACCAGAAGATGTCACTGTAGGCTTAAGCCAGTAAAACAAGTTAGGGCAGGAGGACTATCAACTAAGCATGAAGGTGACTCCATTATGGGACTTTAAAACACTCAGCAGCCTCCATTACAATGCATGTCTGGAAAAGCTGGTTAAAAGATTAATCCAAATGTGTCACTGGACTAAGTAAATTTATTTTTTTTCCCAAGAATGAGACTAATTGCCACTACACTATTGCCTCAGGCCTAACACAAAGGATTGAAAAAGGTGTCTGAATGAATGAGCAAGGAAGCAAGTGAGTGAATGATTGAGTGAGTGAATGATTGAGTGAGGGAATGTGAAAATAAGGAGTACAAGGAGGGATCTGTGGGTATAGTAGTCATCTTCACTGGTCAAGGCCACTAAGGGATAAAAGCTGCTACTCTTTAGCAGTAGGTCTTTACAGAGATGAATTTGAGTGGCACCAGAAAGATCAAGTCCTAGGAAAAGTTCAGAGAAAAATGAAAATACTCTTAGTCCTCACTCCAAGATGCTTCTGTGCCCCATGTTTATTCCAGAAAAACATGAAGTGATTTTTTAAAAAATACCATCCTGTGATTTTTGCAAGGCACTTGGAATATTATCTAGAGTTTTTATGTGACGAGGCATGTCCCCAGCTCTCTCCTTTCTCTTCTCTGAAACACTTCATTAAATAAGCAGTTTAAGGAGTCTCTTGAGGTTCTGCTTTGTGTCAGCTTTAAAGACCAATGTGAAAAGCTAGAATGGATAGGAAAATGGTTGTAGAAATATAGGACAGAGGCTTGGTTCTAGAAAACAGAGTTTAAGTGGAAATACAAACAAGTAATTATAATTCAGTGTCAAATGTATTTTAAATAATGACTAAGTATGGAAGTGCTATGGCTCTACAGAGGAAAAAAAAAGTAATGGCAGTAGTGAGGGGCAGGATACATTTTCTCAAAGGAGATGTGGCACTTGAACTTGGACTTGAAGGATGAGTAGAATTTTCTAATAAAAGATGAAAGCTCATGCCAGACAGAGGAAACACCATGTACAGTTTAGAGGCATGGAGTATAGGGCCCAGGAGGCCTGAGATGCTGGAAGCCAGCATCCAGGAGGAACATTTCCTCAGAAGGCATTCACTCAGCCAGGTGACCAAGAAGGTTCTCTCTGGCTCCTCACCTTCATGCTTTCAGATAGGAATGGATAAACTTCAGAGAAGTTGCTAGCCATTCCCCAGACTTCCTTTAAGAAACTCAATGCCAATATGCAGTGTTTATTGTTTTGCTTCCACAGTATGCTGTTCTGTGATCTCATCATTCATCCATTGGGCCCAAATGGAAATTAATTTGTCATAAAAAGCTCAATTACAGGATCATAGACCTTGACATTTCTGGAGTGTGGTACATATGCCCATACCCACTCTGCATGGGTGTGAGTCTGGTGTGTGGTTTGAATGTTTGCCAGTCTGCTATTTGAGCAAAGAATTTTATCCATCTGCAGCATGAAAGGAAAGATAACCACGCAGCAAAGCCTCCATATTTGCTGACATTTATGTGTCCTTTCAGTGGGTAAAGAAAAAGAACATTGTGGAGATCATAGAGTTAACTTTCCTCTCCTGGAAATATTCTCATGTGAGAAAAGGTTAAAAGCAAGGTAGTCACTTGCATATATGCTGTGGGCAACTACCATGTCTATTTCAGTCAGTGACTAACCACAGTGTTTATTTCTGGAGGCTCTGGGTTGTTCTGCCTATATCTACATTCCATTTCCATAACGTATGAGCCATGATGTTATGACAAACAACCAGAATCAAGAGTATCATATCAAAGACTCTTTCAATGTGATTTTGGTTTTTTAATAAGATTTCCAGATTAGACTGGATATTGGAAAAATGCTTATGCATATTTAATAAGAAAGATTAGCATTTGAGCTCACTTATCAATTCCATTTCAGTTCATCAAATCATTTGCTTCCATTGAGTCTCCATTTTATAATCAGTTAGTGTGGGTTTAGTGTGGGTTGAGGGGTGCAGAGTATGAAATAACATGGTTGCATACTGAACTGATGGCATCGGTGGGAGGATTTTGTCATTGGTTGGAGAGAGGAAAAACAGGAAAGGAGAAAAATGGAGTGAAGAATGACAAGGCCCATGACTTGAGTCTAACCTTTGTATACCTCTTTGGACAAGCTAGTGGGATTTAGGGGACTATAGTACAGTTCAACAGGATACATGCCACCAGCTCCCTGTCATTCACAGTTTGCTTTCTTTGCTGGCCAGTGAACACCACTTAAGCCATGCACCTCCCCAACTCCACTTCAGTCACCGACATCTCTGACATTTGGTCTTTGTGCTTTGTCTATAGGAACTTCCACTATATCACCATCCTCCGAGATCCAGTATTCCGGTACTTGAGCGAGTGGAGGCATGTGCAGAGGGGGGCCACTTGGAAAGCGTCTCTGCATGTCTGTGATGGAAGGCCCCCAACCTCGGAAGAGCTGCCCAGCTGCTACACTGGTGATGACTGGTCTGGCTGCCCCCTCAAAGAGTTCATGGACTGCCCCTACAATCTGGCCAACAACCATCAGGTGTGCATGCTCTCTGACCTGACCCTAGTAGGCTGCTACAACCTCTCTGTCATGCCTGAAAAGCAAAGAAACAAGGTCCTTCTGGAAAGCGCCAAATCCAATCTGAAGCACATGGCGTTCTTTGGCCTCACTGAGTTTCAGCGGAMGACCCAGTATCTGTTTGAGAAGACCTTCAACATGAACTTTATTTCGCCGTTTACCCAATATAACACCACTAGGGCCTCTAGCGTAGAGATCAATGAGGAAATCCAAAAGYGTATTGAGGGACTGAATTTTCTGGATATGGAGTTGTACAGCTATGCAAAAGATCTCTTTTTGCAGAGGTATCAGTTTATGAGGCAGAAAGAGCATCAGGAGCAGGCGGAAGCATCAGGAGCAACGGACATTTCTGAAGGGAAGGTTCCTTCAGACTCATTTCCAGAGCCAGAGTCAGGGCCAGAGCCAGAGCCAGAGCCAGAACCCGAATCAGAGTCAGAATCCAAATCCAAATGCAAACCCGAATCTGCCTCCGAATCTGATTCAGAATCTGACTCAGAGTTTGAGTCAGAATTCGAGCCAGAAGGAGAATTGGGCAAGCCCCAAGCAGAACCCAGGCCAGGAGCAGCCCGAAAGCAACACCAGCAATGGCACCCATACTATATAGGCAGTGTAGAGAAATGGCGTTAAATGGCTCTGAAAGGCTTGTGCACACTTCTCCCAAAGCGCCACCAAAAAAATGACATATCTTAAAAGATGAAAATGTCCAAACACATCCTGATTCCTTAAGTTTGGAAGTTAAAAAAGGTTTAGATGTTGCCTTTACAGTTGCCTTTCAATTAAATGTTATGCTGTGTGTGGGTAAAACAGATCTCAATATGTAATTAAATTGTCTTTTTTTTTCTTTTGGTTGGACTTTTTATGAAATCCAAAAGCCAAAAGAGACTCACCAGAAATTGCTGTGTAGCTATTTTAAGAAGTTCTTAAATTACTTATGGAGGCAAAATGAATACACAAAATGTGACCATTTAACATACAACTGAGAAATGGAATTTAAGTGATTCCTGATACACTGTTAAAACCCAGTTTTGGAAACAAACCCTTTTTCCAGTGGTGAGCATAACTATAAATATCAAATGAMTAAAAGAAACACAAACCTTTCATTTCTTTCTGATTTTAACAAGGAACCTATTTAAATAGAACAGCAACTGATGATAAATTTTACCAAAGTGTAGAAAATTTGAAAATTCCTCTCCCAAACSTGGGTGGTTTTATGTAAAAATATTGGCTTTTCAAATAGAACAGGACTCATATCTTGTAATTTAAGAGATGTTTAAAATTTTAAACTTTTCTACCTTCTACTATTTAAAGGTTTTAAACAAGGTGTATCTCATATTAAGGAAAGAACATATTTTTTCCAAATGGAAGACCAGTGTAAAAATCTAATGTCCAGATGCTTTCAGGGCACTGTAATTTCAACAATTCTGGAATCTTTTTGGCACTGCTTCTCATTCACTTTAAGGCTTCTCTGAGTTGTGCTCATTCCAAACAAACCCATGTATAGAATCTTTCTCCATCATCTAAATGGTGTGTTGCTGAATTAATTGTGGTATATAATCCTGGATTAAAGTCAGGACTTTCTTTCTATAGAATTGTCTTATCAATGTTTGTGTAGTGAGGTCCTTAATCAAGAAACTCTTGAACAGGACAATGTGTCTAAAAATATTGCTKAAGTTATTCTTGATCAGATAGAATTGAACCTGAATGTGAATTGTTATTTACTTTTTGTAYATCTTTATTGTATAATGTTTCCAGTTTGGCTGGCTATTTCTGGCCCATTAGTTCTTCTTTGTGTTGACAAGTTTGTAGACAATTATAAAAGCCAAYAAAGGGTAGAATAAGCATGACAATAGCCAGAGTTATTCTTCAACACCAAAAGCTGTTGCTGGATTCTTTGGGTTAACCTTTCTACCAGGTTTTCATTTATGAAAGAACCAAAGYAGAGGACATTCTACAGCAGAGTTAAGTATCAAGAACAATCAAGTGGAAGAGAGTAACATGGTTCTATGAGTCTACACATCATGTTTCTGGGTGGTTTCTATTTTATGGGTTTGGCTAAACTTTTGCAAGAACTTACATTGACCTCTGGTTATCAAACAAGGTGCCTGGAAGTGTTCAGGAGGGACATGCTTAGAAGTGTGACCATAAGATACATCTTGTACAATCTGCCCTTGTGCATGATCTGGTTTCATCTGTAATAATATGGCCACAAGCTGAGAAAGAAGCTGAATATTTGAGCTTAAAAATGAATTTTCTTGTCTCTAAGCTTGAATCAGTATTTCTAGATTTTGTTTTGTCTGACAGTGTTTCAGTCCTGGGAATTCTAAAACCTAAAATACTGGAAGTAAAATTTTAAAGAAACACACACACGTTGAAGTCAAAAGTGTTTTACAGTGAAACTATGTTGTGTGCATTGTGTTTTTAAAATACTCTGTAGATCACTTTGGTATTTTGATTTTGTTTAGTTTTAATTGAAAACGTTTGCTCTTAAAATTGACAGGTAGTTTGGGAAAGGAGGATGAAGCCCAAGCCAAYRGAAAAGCTTGTTACAGAAAAAACAATTTGTATTATTGTTGTGGTGTGCATGGTTTTGCAGAGATTAAGTGCATTTTCTCTGTCTATACTGATTATTGTATATAGGGGATGTTATAAATACACATTTTTGTCATCATCATGTAAATCCCATGATTTCAACTGTAAACATCTGTTCAATGGTGTAGCTTTACAAACCATTCACTGATTTGTGTAATTTAWCAATAGATATGAAATAAAGTTTAAATTACAGGCTCTGAGCAATTTCATCATTTCAAGATTTACAGCCACTAGACACTATGAGATCATAGACAAGAACAGAATTCTCTTTTCATAAGGAGTTTTCCTTTTTTCCTCTTGGCAGAAAGGTATGGAAACAAAATGGCCCATTCTAGTTCCCCACACTAAAATGGCCTTAATTTGGGGTGCTTTCTTCTGGAAGCTCATGTTTTCATTAAAACAAAATTGTCCTTAAAAGACAAGATTTGCTATACAAATGAAATATGCATGTTTTAATATGAAAGTTATTAAAGTACATACTTTACTATCTAAGAACATGCAGAAAGGAAAAATAGCATTCTTAATTTCCTATCTCTCCCCCCTATCCACAAGGTAGAGGTTAAAGGTAAGCATTAGCAATTGGCTTTTTGAAGTCTTGAATATTAATTTCCCCTATTTCAAAGTACACATTTTTTCCAAACAATCTCTTGTGTTTAGGACCATGGGTGGGGATGATTTGTGCTTGCTCCTTTTCAAAGAGATTTTATATGTCAGTACCAAGGGGAGAAGAAAACTGTAAATATGGAAAGAGGTAAGTATATAAACAATGCTTATGAGGTTTATCTCATCAAATGTTTATTGAGCAATAATTGGGTGGGCAGGACTGGAGGGGTGTGGCTCAGCAGTAGAACATGCACACAGCATGTGTGAGGCCCTGGGTTCAATCCCCAGCACCACAAAATAAATAAATAAAATTGGGCAGCCAAAGTTCTTGAATGTATGAAGGTTCCATGGCCCTTTGGAAGGAATGCAGAGGCCAAGATCTTGAAATATTTAGGAAATAAAGTTGGTGTCTTTTTCCCTTGAGGACAGTTGGTACCCTTGGAGAGCTRGGCATTCTCCATGAAGTGCAGAACACATAGGAGACCTGCATTTGGCTTAAGGCCCCCAGATTAGGGTTGACAACTAAGAAAATGGGCTATTTGTGGTAGCCTCCAGAAGAGCTCTAGTGAAGTCACTAATTGATTCAATTCCCAAAGACTTGGGATTCTCACTGGGAATTACAGTCAAGTAAGAGTAGGCCTATGGGGTGGTAAGGGGGGTCTAAAAAAGTAATGGTTTCCATCCATGGGGGTGAGGTGTGTAAGGAAATAATAAAAGCATCATGCAATGGACTTCAGACAGTTGGAGTCTCAACATGGCTGAGACAGAAAAGAACCACAGAATAACTCCTGGTTGATGATATACAATCCACCATTTTCTGGCATTATCTTTAAGACCCTCTTTTAGTCAGCTTTTTCATTGCTGTGACTAAAAGGACCCAACCAGAACAACTATAAAGGAAGATCAGGTTTATTTAGGGCTCATGGTTTCAGAGGTCTCAGTGGATAGAAGGCTGGCTCTACTCCTTGAGGCTTGAGGTGAGGCTGAACATCATGGTGGAAGAGTATGGTGGAGGGAAGCAGCTCACATGACAATCAGAGAGCAGAGAGAGAGAGGCTGCGCTCACTAGATATAAAATATATACCCCAAAGCCACACCCACAATTCCTGCCTACCTCCTCCAGCCACAGTATACCTGCCTACAGTTACCACTCAGTTAATCTCTATCATGGGATTAATTCACTGATTGCGTTAAGACTCTTACAACCAAATCATTTCTCCTCTGAACCTTCTTTCATTGTCTCACATGAACTTTTGGGGGACACCTCACATCCAAACCACAACAGACACTGTTCCTAACATTTGGAAGTTGGGAAGGAAGAGACTAGGGTATTCATTCAGCTCAAGTGGCTATTATCATGCATCAGTACTTCCTTCTCTTTTATCCTTGCTAAGGATTAAAGTACACAAAGAAAAACTGGGTGTTTTGTAAAAAAAAAAAAATGCTAAAAAGAAGTGTAGGGTCCCTGGGATTTTGGAATCCTAATCTTTCACATGACAAAAAAAAAAAAAAGTAAACTGCCAGTTTTGATTGTCAAAGGAATTTGATCCACACACATCAAAAATGCCAAAGTACATCACTCAGGCAAGTGCATAAAGCCCTGGACATTTTTGGAGGACACTATCCTGAACACAAAGCAAATCAGCTGTTTCTTAAGTCAGATGGTACTACATCAGCCTCCGAACTATTGCCCTGGGTTCAAATGTAGTCCTCTACCTGCTTTTGTAAATAAAGTTTTATTGGAACACATCACACCCATCTCTTTGCATATTTCTCTGGCTGTTCTCAAGCTATGGAGGCAGAAGTAGTTGAAACAGATCCCATAGCCTGAAAACTCTAAACTTTATTTTATTGCTTTTATGGGAAGAAGTTGGTTAAACCCAGAGCTAAGAGAGCCAATCAAAGTTTTCTAAACATAGTCAGGTACATTGGTGCATGCCTGTAATCCCAAATATTATGGAAGCTAAAGCAGGAGGATCACAAGTTGGAGGCCACCTCAATAACTTAACTTTTTTTTTGTCTCAACATAAAAATCAAAAAGGGCTAGGGATGTAGCTCAGTGGTTAAAACTACCCTGAATTCAATCCCCAGTGCCAAAAAGAAAAATTGTTCTCATTTTTACTCAATTTCTTTTTTTCCAAATATCAGCAATGTATCATAGTTTCCCTTCCACAACAGGAATCTATTAAAAGGTTTACCCTAACCCTCCAGCTGATTGCTGCTGCTGCTGCTGCTGCTATAGATTGAGAGTGTAGACTGTAGATGCATACTGCCTGGGTTTGAGTCTCAGCTCCACCAAGCACCAGTTCTATGACCTTTGGAAAGTCATTAACCCCTCCATGTCTCAATTTCCTCTCCTGTAAATGGAGAAAATAAGCACAGCAGCTTCAGCAGTTTGCTATGAGAATTAAGCAAGTCAGTATTTGTAAACTCCTTAGCATACTGTCCAATATGCAGCAAACCTTACATGTTGAAAGTTGATCATGATAACTGTTAATAGCACGAATGCTAGATGTCTGTGGAATCCAGTAAAGTCCCCAAAATTAAGAGTTGGAAATATTGGCAAGAAAAGAAGCAAACAATAGAATATGCCTCTTGTGGCTTATTTTTGTCTAAAAATAAATGAATATATTATAAATGTTACGTAATGAAATGTATAAAAACCTTTCTTAAGGATTACTCCTGAGCTTTGAATACAGCCTGTGATAGAAGTATTCTGAAATATCTAGTGGTTGACTTGGGACCTATTTTATCATGCTTAGGCATGGGTGGCTCACTTACAACCCCCTTCTACCCAATGTCACCAGAGAACAGGCCTGAGAGGGTTCCAAAGGCCTAGCTGCCTCAGTCACAGGTTTGACCTGGTGTCTGGAATTCCCATAATGCAGGTCTCTGTTCTGGGTCTAAGAACTGTGTTCAGAAGACCCTATTAAAATGCATATATGCCACCTAGGAGAGAGAAGGAGAGTAACCCATTAATAGCACATATTAGTTTATCAGATTAGCAGTCACGAAGGGCCCTCAGGGAAGGGAACTCACAGGCCTTGTGAATTCAGGTAACTTACTTCACTTAAAGAAAGAACATTTGCTTCCATCCCATTTGAATTTTTAAATTCAGTCTTGTTGCCTTAAGACAGGATAAGGTTCAATAATCCTCATCAAATCTCATGGAGTTGTATAAATTCTATTCTCATAATGTCTGGTTAAATCTTGTGACTTTACCAATCTTAGTAAGATTTAATGATGCCTAACTGGGTCTAAGAAAACTTTAACCATTTTGTCACTTAACCATGCTCTACTGGATTTCATGTGACTTAAAGGACCTGAGAGGAACTAACAAGTCCCAAAAGAGTGCTATACCATAGCTTAATAGAACCTAACCACCAACTACAGCCAGTCCTAACCAACCTTTTCATGAACTAATCCCAAACACAAAAGTGTGTGTTTTTTTCACGTCTCAAGGTGGTCTTTTGTCCCTAAAGTCATCCAAAGTACCATCACTTGTTCATTGAGGCCCTTGAGATTCATAGCAAAGACTTCACAAATTTGATCAAAGGGGCCCCTTTAGGTTTTACAAATATGAATACATGGTAAAGAAGTTTAAGGAACCTCAGCACTGACAGTCAGGATAAATAAGAATTATCAAGAATGAATTTGACTTATCAAATGCTATCAAGTCAAGTTTTCAGCACTTACTAGTGCCCACTGCAGTTGAAAACATGCTTTCCCCAAACTCCTGGAACTTAACAGGGTGGTTCTTGTTTTCATTTTCCAGCAGCCACCACTCTAGGTGGAGTTTCTTTGCCACCACCTGGCTGGCTACAGTGTTTTCTCAACCATTCTCCAGTCCTTCAACCTCTTTCTTGAACACCAGATATATCTTCCTAAAACTATTTCTCAAAACCAAATACAT